GTATGGCTCAGTGGTTTGAGCATATACCATATGCTACATGTCCTTGAGTTGCTTAACTTTACCTCAGTTTCCTATTTTATGATCTGAGGATGCTAACTGTACCAACCTCAAAGAGTTGCTGGTAGAATTTAATTAACATATTTTAAAATGATTAAATAATGCCTGGTCTAGTAGTAAGAGCACCATAAATACTAGCTATCAAAGCCAGTATTTAGTCACAAAAGTAACTTTTATAATGCCCTTAAGTCAATGAATAGTCAATAGTACTCTTTTAATACCTGATATTCAAAAATGGAAGCCCTAAAGGAACTGGGTCACCTTAGGCCAAAGATTAAATTACATCTCGGATGATGTAGACCAGCACTGTCCAACAGAACTTTCTGCAATAATAGAAATGTCTTTGTGCTATTCAATATGATAGTCACTAGCATGTGTGGCTAATATGACTGAGGAACTGAGTGAAAATTTTACTTGTTTTTAATTAATTTAAATTTAAATAGCCACATGATGAGGCTAATGCCTACCAATTAGACAGTAGAGCTTTAGAAGCCAGAAAAGTTCAAAATACATTTTAGAAAAAGTTGTTATAGTGGTCAAAATGAAGAGTTTTTCATCAAAATGAAGAGTTTTTTGGGTGAAACATCAAATTACCCAGGTGACTCAGACCCCCTTCAACCCTGATTTGGCGGCATGCGACTTTTGGCTTTTCCCGAACTAAAATCACCTTTGAAAGAAAAGATTTACACTGTTGATGGCATTCAGGAAAATCAACAGCGCAGCTGATACACAGTGGGGCAACTGACAGCAATTGGGAGAACTGTGTGAGGTCCCAAGGTGCCTAATTTGAAGGGGACTGAGGCGTCCCTGTCCTATGTACAATGTATCTTGTATCTTCTTCAATAAATGTCTTTACTTTGCATATTATATGGCTGGACTCCTTTCAGACAGACCTTGCTATAATATTAAATGTCTGCAAAATCATTAGCCTGAGGCCATTTACAAACCCAGACACTACTGGTAGATATTCTAAAGTCTTATTCTAAAGTCTAAGAATTTGGGCTAAGAGAAAAACGGGACAGGGGGAAGAAATCTTCTGCCCCATGTTCCTGAGTTGACAGTAAAGGATACAAAATCTGTCCTCTTTCATTCTAAAAATTATGAGTCCTTTTGTTTTCTACTACTAGAAAATGAAGAAGAGGAAAAAAATATGCTACATGCCTTATGTATGTATTCAATCCCATGAATCCTAACAGACCAGTGAGGTAAGCATTAACAATTCTATTATAGAAAAATTAGGAAAAGTGAAGTAATTTGTCCAAGATCATAGCAGTAATATGTGGCAGAAATATGAACCTGGATCTACCTGATTATATAAGGTTATATACCAGAGCTGCCTATGAATACCAACCCTACTACTACAAACAAAGCAACGAGAAGCTTTAAAATAAATCTGCCCTCCTCTGGTCATTCTAAATAGCAAGGTCATCAATATCAACAGGAGGAAAAAAAGGAAATGGACAGGAAATTCATCTGGGACACTACAAAGGTCTTCTGTGATGCTAAAATACCTCCATGTTCCCTTGCATATCCTAAATAGATATACTGGATCAATAATAAAAGGCATCTTTAAGAAAGGAGCATAACAAAAAAGAAAAAAATGAATGTGATAAAAGGGGTGAAAACAGAAAAAGATAACAAGTGGGAAAGATCTCATGTGGAAGATAGTAAATGAAACCAGAAACTACTCAAAGTGCACTGATAACCCAGTATCTCAGGCTGCATACACGTGAGCCATAAAATAAATCTTTTAATAAATGTCAGCCAATTTTGTCCTGGCTGGTGTGACTCAGTGGATTGAGCGCCAGCCTGCAAATCAAAGGGTCGCTGGTTCAAATCCCAGTCAGGGCACATGCCTGGGTTATGGGCCAGGTTCCCTACTGTATGGCACACGAGGCAACCACACATTGATGTTTCTTTCCCTCTCTTTCTCCCTTCCTTCCCCTCTGTCTAAAAGTAAGTAAATAAAATCTTTTAATAAATAACTAAATGTTAGCCAATTTAGAAATGCAAGAAATGCATGAGAGGCAACCAAACACTGATGTTTCTCTCCTTCTTTCACCTTCCCTTCCCCTCTCTAAAAATAAATAAATAATCTTTAAAAAAAACGATAATAATAAACTATGGCACTGATAATGCAAAAGCTATTTCTGTCACTGTGTGGGGCCAACCTGAGAGCATAAAATTATATTAATTATAAAAATAAACATGCAAGGTCTGTCCCCAAAAAGACCAGCCATTGTTAATATAACGAGAATGGTAACACCTTGTAACAAGTCCAAAGAAACATCAAATTTTGTTTTGCTTTGATCAAACCAAATCATAAAAAAGTTTGTTGCTATAACATATGAAGAAGATGTTATTTAGATATGTGTTTACCTGTCAAAATAAAGCAAATGTTCAAGGAAAGCTTTTGCTTTTTTCAGTAAGCTTTTGCTCTTATTGAATCTGTACCTGGAAATAAAATACAGGTAGGTATACCTCAGGATTCAAACTCATCATATGCAAACTCAGAAACCAAAGAGATTCTGCTAAATTTTTGAAGATTCTATTGTTTTACGGAAACTGAATCCATCATTATCTGAACTCTCACTCTTTGCTATCCAAAACTCAGGAACTGAATAAATACAGACGACGCAGTATTCACTATCCAGACTTTACTCAAACTCAAGATATGAAGGCAGTAGATTCAAACTGCAAGGCATGCTTGTGAATCCTATATACATTTTTAATATAATTTCACATGATTTACAAAATTGGGGTGTTTTTAAAACAAAATGTAAGTACTCTACAGAAACACTGGCTGCAAAATAGATGAGAGTATCTTTTTATACTGTATTTCTTAGTAGTTTGCTGGAACAAGTTATGAAGTTATTAACCCTCAGCTCCAAACCCCCAACCTTCTTCCCCATTTACTAGAACTGGGACTCTGTACACCACATTTCTGATTTGCTGCTGATTGGTATAAGGCTCTGCTGTATGGATTTAGAAGCCTTTTTGGAGTTACTACTTTAATATATGATTATTACAAGTGATTTTTATGAAGCCCAAAGAATAGAAAGAAAGGCACAAGTCTTTCCTTTTCCAGGCTTGCGTCCATCTTTAGTGCCCCCTCTGAGCAGAGCAATTCGGTTAAAATTAAAGAGTATACTTAGCTACTGGTATAAAATCTTTTGCAATAATTCTTTTAAAAGAAATTTAGTGGGCTTTTTTTTAGTCACATACGGTCTCTACTAGTAAAAATTACATGATATGAAGGTATTAATAAGAGGTATCTGTGACTCTCCAAATTATCTACAATAAACATGTATTACCTTTTAATTTTTTTAATGTGTGTCAGGCTCTATGCCAAGAGTCTTTATTTATCTCATTCTTTCTTCTCTAAATTAAAAAAAAAAATTTTAATTACACCCTGGCTGATGTGGCTCAGTGGATTGAGTGCCAGACTGCCAAGCAAAGGATCACCAGTTCAATTCCCAATCTGGGCCCATGCCTGGGTTTCGGGGCAGGTCCCCAGTAGGGGTGCATAAGAAGCAATGACACATTACTGTTTCTCTCCCTTTCTTTCTCCCTCCCTTCCCCTCTATCTAAAAATAAATAAGTAAAATCTTTGAAAAAATTTTTTCCCATTACAAGTTTATATTCAATATTATTTTGTATTATTTTCAAGTATATAGTATATTGGTCAGACTATCATGTATTTTACAAAATGTTCCCCCTGATATTACTAGTACCCAAATGGCATCATACATAGTATAGTATTAATGACTATATTTTCTATGCTGTACTTTACATCTCCGTGACTATTTTGTAACTTCCAATCTGTACTTTCAATTCCTTCACATTGGCCCTTCCTGGATTCCATCTAACTGAAATGCACATCTTCCATCTATGCAAGAAATGATTTACTGTATCACTCTTTCAGGTTTTCATTTAAATGTCACCTTTTCAGTAAAGCTTTCCATGACTACCCTATCAAAAAACACCACCCCTATACTTTCTATTCCTATTTTATTTTTTGCCTTAGCCCTTAGTCACTAACAGATACCTATTACTTATCTTGTTCATTAATTGTCCCTTCACCAGAATGTAAGTTCCATGATTATGAAATTTTTATCTGCTATGTTCACTGCTGTAGCCTCAGCATTTAGAATAGTGCCTGACAACATAGGCACCCAATATACTGAATGAATCAATGATACAGCTACCCCCGACACCACAGGTAACTGGTGGGTACTGCCATCAACACTGCATATTCAAGTCTGAAAGATTTCACTAAACAGATTAGATTGAGGTTATTTTATCAAACTGTGCTCTGGGAACTGCAGCAATCTCTCAGGGATCAGGATGAGGGGAGAAAACCGAAGCCTAAGCAATCAGAAAAGTCCCGTATTTATCTGTTTTTTTCATTGGATTTCACATAAAATTTAATTTGTAAATGATTTAGAAACTTTGAAAAAAATCTAAAACCACTGAGTTGTATATAACTTCGTTCCTAACTTATATTTTACATTTAAATTATTTATTATAAATGAGGATAACCTAGGTATCATGTTTACATCATCCTTTAGAAAGAGGTTAAAATTAGCATCTAATCTTATTTAGTAATCTGCTACAAAGGCAAACAATATTTACTATATATTTTCTAATTAAAACAAGCAGAGAGAAGATAAGGTTTTTTAAGAAATGAAAGTATAAAATTATGTTATTTCATGGATAAGAACATATGTAAACACACCAAATGATTAAGAAAAAATCCAAATCCCCTTACCCTCTGTAAGCAAAAATATCTTCTAACCCCACCGTATAGCACTATTTGACAAAAAAAAAAAACCTACAATATTTTATTCTGAACCTCGCCTTGAAATTATTCCTAATGTGACTTAACCAGCAAAACTTTAAAAAATATTACGTGTTTAGTAAAGAAAAAGAGAAGCACTCACCTTAATGAAGTTACAGATGGACAAGCCTGTCCATACAAACCCATCTGGCCACAAAGAAGAATCTGAAAAATAGAGAAGAGTTATTTATCAGATGCTCCAAAGTGAATGAAACTATAAGTCATGTTACAATTCTAATTAAAACACTCCAAAAAAAGGAATAGAAGGCTAAAAGGTTTACCATTTTCTGAACACATGAATCAAAAATGCAAAAAGAGGGCTTACACTGAGGAAGACAGACATACCAGTAGGCATTAAGAGAAACAGGCATACTATAAACTGTAATATCCAAAGGAGATGGAAACTCATAAAATTTTACAAATCATTATGTTTATGCAAAGAATGGGTCCAAACTGTTTAGTAGAATCCATCTACTCTTTAATCTAAGTAACTCTATCTTTACTGGCTTTACAGTCTGGACTTCACTGAGGCTTCATCTGAAACAGTTCCACTGCTCTAAAAAAAAGGGTAAAAATAGTAATGAAACAGAAAGAGCTCTGAATAAGACAGTTCTAGGTTCAAATTCTAGCTGGGACAGGATGGGACCTTGAAGAATTTATATAAAACCTCGCTGAACCGCAGTCTCTTATCTGTAACTGGGGGAATAATACCATCCATATAACTTTACTTATTCATAAGTAATAAATTGTGGGTTTGATATAAGAATTAAATAAATCAATGAACAAATGTGAAATTGTCTATTAGCACTACTACCCGGCACAAAGAGATCCACAAACGTCTACAGGTAACATGAATGAGAGAAGTTGGAATGGGTACATATATATATATGCATACATTACACAAGTGATGACGACTGTGAGCAACTAAAAACATGTTCACCCTTACTAAATCAGCTACTATTACCAGTTCTGGCCTATTGCTGCTAAACAGAACAGCAAGCCCAGTATTATAAGATTTTCTGATTTTTTCAAGAGAAATTAGATATCCAAATTTTTATTTTCAATCTCCTGATCTTTATTTTCTAAATACTATGTGAGCCAAACAAAACACTGGCTTTTGTCCCAAGTTTAGGATTTAGAGGCTGACTAAATTCTCTACATACAGTTGTCCCTGCATGCACTGAAGAGACAGACATTTCTATTTCTACTGGAATGATACAATAACTAGCTTGTTCAACATGCCATTAAAAATAACAAACACTAGATAAAATATTTTAAGTATCTTTATAAGTTAATCAATAGCATTAAAGAAAATAAGTTATGACCAAAGCCAAAAACTAAGTTTAAAAAAATTAGAAAAATATTCACAGGAAAAGCAACCAGCATTCATTCACTTCCAGAGCATTTTGTCAAACCCTATGATTCGGTTTGCAACTTTCAGTTGCAATTCTAAAGCCTACTGGGACCCAAGGTACAAGAGGCAAAGTCCAGGTGTTACCCTGGTGCAAGGAAAACTGTTTCTTACCCTTGGCACTGAGTGCTGATCAAGGAATGGGGGCCATGATAGCATGCAACAGTATCTTCCCTGATATTCACAAAAATAAGCTCCTCCTCACCTAGACTTTGGTTTAGAATTTTGTTTAGGGTAGTTCTCTGATTGGTAGTGTTCCCCACCCAACCATGACAGAAGCAAATGCGAATGCTCTCTGAGGAATCTGTCTTTGATTTCAGCATGGAAGAGTTCCCAAAGATAAGGTTCCAAAATTAATAAATTCACAATGAAAAAATCACAAAACTTGGAAACAAGTCACTCAGAATAAGATATAAATACAAGATCAGTTGGAAGAATTAAAATCTCAAAGACTTCAAGTATGGGAATTACTACATAATTTTCTCTACTTCTTTGCTTCATGGGTAATTTACCCACTCCTGTACTTCAACTGCCTGTATACAGATAAACTTCAAATCTGTATCTCAGGCAGGTGTCAATCACCTGATCTCTAAACATAAACATCTATCAAATTTATCATGTCCAAAACCGAATTCATTATCTCTCTTTAATATATTTCCTAACTTGATAAAATGGCTTTCAGGTTTCTAGCCTAACTCCTTTCATTTCCTTTGTTAGAGTAACACACTTCTTTCCAACTCTTGATTTCTATGAGGAAAAACTTCTCTAAATACTCCTGGGCTCTTAGCCCACTCCTCACCGAAGAGGTAAGTAACCTGGTTAGAGGAGAAAAGATAACTCCAGAACTCGACACCCAGGACTCTGTAAGGCAGTAATCTGCGTGAACCAACAACCTAGGCACCAGGTGGACTGTCCCATGGTCTAGACCGGGTTCTGTTAGGTGGAAAAGAGAAAATATAGAGTTAGCCTATTTGGCTTTTAAACCTAAGCCATATTCTATAATATTCTACAATATCATCCTTATCAGAAACAAAGGTAACTACTCCAAAAGTTACCCAGCAATTCTATTTCTACACACATGTATGTACATATGTATATAAGTATACATATATGTGTTAATTCTCTAGGGAATACATATATACATGTATATATGCATATGTATATATGTACATGTGTATGTACATCCCCAAGAGAATGTAAACATGTTCATAAAAAAACTTCCAGATGATGTTCATAGCACCATTATTCACAATAGCAAAAAAGCAAAACTAAGCCAAATATCAATCAACTGATAAATGGATCAACAAATGGTGGCTTTATCTACACAATATCCATAATATACAATGGAACACTATTCAGCCATAAAAAGGAATGAAGTACTGTTACATGCTACAACACTGATGAACCTTGATAGCCTTAGGCTAAGTGAGTGAAAGAAGTCATACACAAAAGGCTACATACATACTGTATGATTCCATTTATACAAAATATTCAGATTAGGCAAATACTAGAAATGGAAAGTGGATCAGTGGTTGCTAGGAGTTGAGAGAAGGCAAACAGGGGATTGGGGAGGAGTGAGTGCTAATAGGTTTCTTTTGGGCATAATGAAAATGTTCTGAAATTAGATAGTGCTGACTGCTGCACAACCTCGTGAATAAAAACCTTTAGTATAAAACCACCAAACTATACACTGTAAAATGGTGAAATCCTATGGTATTTTCTTTCATCTCAATAAAAAACTAGCTTACTAACAGTAATATTTTGTTTTTTATCTGCTGATTCTTGTTTTATTACTCAGTCAATTCAGAATTCAGGCAAGGGAAAAGGATCTTATATATTGAATCCCACAAATATCAACACCTTTAGAACCCCCAATTAGTTACCATTTACTACCAACTCTAGTTCTTAGATATCCTTCTAATCTGCTGTAGTCTCAATGCCTTAGTTTCCATTTTCTTCACTTTGACCTACCATACATACTGCTCCTATGTGGTGTCCTGAACTAAAAGAACAAACTTATGCCAGTCTTCTCCCTGCCCAGGCAAATGACCAGCAATATGGAAATCTCACAAGAAAAGGCTAAGGTTCACTGTGAAGTCAGGAAAATCTCAAAGTGTCCTACAAGAAAATGACAAGCTTACATCTCTGGAGCCAACCATAGTTGAACAATTATATTAACTCTTTCAATTACATCCATAATTTATAGTCTAAATTGGTGCCCAAAGCACATAGTAGCTTTTTCTCCTAATCCTTTGAAAACCAATAAGCAAGAATGTTGAATGACACAACCACAATATAAGTAGTAAAACCAGTCATTTATTGATGAGCATGCTCCAACAGAAGCTAATGTGTTATATCCCATCAACAAAAGAATATGGGATTCCTTTTAATATATGCAGTCTTCGAGTGTATGTTACACTGAGTTACAAACTATCACATATAGGAAGCAGACATTTAACAAACAGGTGTATGATAAGGCATTATTTGGGAGTAGGAGGTGAACCAGGACTAAGTATTTTGTAAAGCTCCCAAGCAATTTTTGAGCCCCCTCTCTCCTACCCACACAGATATAATGCTTTATAATTTACAAAGAATTGAGAGCACTTGTGACTCTGAAAGAAGGCTGAGATTAGAATCCCAGTTGTGACCATGGGTATATTGTTAATTTATCTAAGGCTTAATTTTCTCCTTGATACAAATGGGAATTCATGCCTGTTAATGTGACAGTAACTTGAATGAAATCACAAGCATAACACCAGACAAAAGAATTAAGTCTGCTGAAAGAATCTCCTAGGGCAAGAGAAATGAAGGAGAAGATAAACAAATGGGACTACATCAAATTAATGGTTTCTTTAACTGAACAGTAAAGAAACCATTTGATATAAGTGGTTTCTTTATCAAAATGAAAAGGGAACCAACTATATGGGAGAACATAGCTGTCAATAATATCTTCGACAAGGGGTTGATCTCCAAAATACATAAAAAACTCTTATGATTCAACACCAGGAAGACAAACAATCCAATTCAAAAATGGGCAAAGAATCTGAATAGACACTTCTCTAAGGAGGACATACGCATGGCCCATAGACACATGAAAAAATGCTCATCATCACTACCCAGCAGAGAGATGCAAATTAAATCCACAATGAGATCACCTCATACCTGTCAGAATGGCCATCGTTAATATATCAACAAACTATGAGTGCTGGTGAGGATGTGGAGAAAAGGGAACCCTAGCGCACTACTGGTGGGAATGCAGACTGGTACAGCCACTGTAGAAAACATTATGGAATTTCCTCAAAAAATTAAAATTGGAACTTCCTTTTGCCCCAGCAATTCCACTGCTGGGAATATACTCTAAGAATTCTGAAATACCAATTCAAAAGAACTTATGCACCCCTATGTTCATAGCAGCACCAATCACTGAATGAGTGGTTCAAAAAACTGTGGTACATTTACACAATGGAATATTACACAGCAGAAAAAAGAACTCCTACCTTTTGCAACAGCATGGATAAAACTGGAGACTAGTACGCTAAGTGAAATAAGCCAGTTGGTAAAAGATAAATACCATATGATCTCACTTATAAGAGGAATCTAATGAAAAAATAAACTAACGAGCAAATTAGAAGCAGCAGCATGGATACATGGAATAGACTGACAAAGGACAGGGGGGAGTGGCGAGGGCGATAATGGTGGAAAGAAGGGGAAGGGAATAGTCAAAGAACATGTATGAATGACCCATGGGATCGGG